CCTACTCTGGAAACGATGATGCATACAATGGACTCCGGACTAGGTGCGTTTCTTTAAGTTTTCCTACCAACATGACCGAGTTGCGAAAACAAGGTCAAACAACTTCGATCTATGGTAAGTTTGTATTCAAAAAAATATTTGTTCGATTTTGAACGCTGATGCCCTGATCCAATACAGTATAGAGGAAAGTAGTAAATACTACTCTGTGTTTAGGAACCAATATACTCCAGAAAAAGAAAGCACATTTTGATCTGGGGATGGTTTAGGAAATACATTTTAAAAATATTGATAACAGAAATAAAACTCACAGTCCATATAGGGACACGCTCCCTAGCCTTCTCGTTGACCATAACGCAGAGAGACAAAACATGTTCGCGACTGGGCAGCAAACGTGACGAAGAGCCAGTGTTGCCCTGATCTTCGAAATCGGGGTCCGGTCCAGAGAAATTGGGCCACAAGTAGGTTTCAAGATATTGACTGATCTCAAGAAGTTGGCAACGTTTGTGCGAGAAACCAGTAGCTAATAGTTCTTCACGGTAGATGGTAATCACAAGTTCTTCACGGAAATGAGACCATGGATGCTCGGTTTCAGTCCCTTCTTGAGAATTTACTATCTTCTCATCATCTGGAAGCCAGTAGGTACGCGCCAGTTGATTGATTCTGGACTGCGCCACGTAGTCGACAGAGTCACCTGACCGAGCCATCAGGGGGATGTAGCTTAAGTGAAAAAAGTTATGTAATTCAATCTAATAATATATTACAATAACAATTGTTTCAATAGCTTAGTGAAGTGGTTAATAAGTAAAATACTGATGGTAGTAGAAAAGTGTGAACAGGATGATAGGATAGGAGATAAGATTGCTAAAGGATAAAGACGAGCCATCATCAGATACAGTGCTTTAATTTTAAACCAGTGATTTAAGAAGCTTCACAATGAAGAAGTGCATCGGTTGCGCTAATATTTAAAAGATCGCAAATTTAAATTATCAAGAAAAAGTGCTATCGGATGTTATGAGAAAAGAAAAGCAAAATAAATTCGAGGATAAAAGTTGAAATGATTTGTAGGAAAACGATGAGTAAATAGCAATATGGAACGGAGTGGAAAAATTAGAGGAACTGGAATAGGAAAACGATATAAAGAGGAGCATGCGCTGTACACACAACAATCGACATTCCAGATGGCTGTGAGATTTAATGCGAAATAATTTTTAGATATGAGTTGTATTCACGCTATTTCGTTAAGGTGTGAAGGACTGGTAGTTTAATTTTGTCAAAATCATATGAATAGGCATTAGGTTTTAATTGAATTTTGCATAGACTTGCTTCTCAAAAGGTATTTTCATTCAAGGTGAACTGCAGGTTCGACTTTGCTAAGCCTCCCGAGTGGGAATCTAACCCTGATAATGCTGCGTATAATCTCAACACGTCACGTCACTGTTCGAGTTCCATTAGGGGACCTGAATAGGGTCGATACTGCGGTTCATCCTGGATGATAATATTTTTTGGTAAGCAAGTTCAATAGAAATAAAAAAGCTATTCATTTCACTGTTTGAAAATTGAATTATTGATACTTCATCAACTTAATCAAATAGTGGATACATCTATATATATTTTTATATATATGATCTACTGGTAGTCTCAAAAAATCAACTTGCGACCACACAAAAGGCCACACCATCTTGGTCTTCATATCTTCGATCAAAAAAAAATAATTTTGCGTTGGTACGAATCATTTTCGAAGCGTCAGGGAGACCTTGTGGAACGTACCCATTCCTGTGTCCTCTGCTATAGTATTCGTGATTTCGAGCATAGGACCAGCGACTTGGTATATTCTCATACGGCTAAAGGGGATCGCGACCTCATATATACGATCTAACTATGATGGAAGAACTGCCAGTCAATGCACTGAATACATCAGATCTTGTCAATCTTGTTATTTGACCTTTTTAACTGTTGTAAACGTTATGGCATCCATCATAATTTTTATAATTTGGTAAAAAATAGCATTCCGATAAAAACAATGTTATATTATATCAAGCATCTTAGCAAGAATTAGAGTCATATGATAAGGTAGGGAATTTTCTGGTATTAAATTTATACTCAAACATTATTTGAGTCAGATTTTCACCCTGAAGGATTTCATGGAACAACAGGTGACAGACAAAATGTCGAAAAGTATATCGGACTAAATCAAAAAGGCACAGAAGCTGAATAAATGTTAAATCTAGAGAGCCTAAGGTCCAAACCCCCGATAAAACGAACATGACTCAAGAATGACGTATCTCGCAGTCTAGAAAAGTGATGAAGATAAAGTTGTGAATCTGTATTTCCTCCCTCTTGACCTGGAAACCACATAAATCTTCAAGAATGGACCAAATTTTGCACTTCGGAGCGAAAGCAAGGCAATCGAGAACATTTAAGTGGAGATGATAAATACCTCTGAGAAGGAAACTGAAGAACCAAAATAAAGCTGTAGATAGAAATCATCCCAACAATCTTGGCACATCAAGAACCCACGGATAGGAACAAAATAATGAATATATATAGAGAATTGAGAAGAAACGATCAAACAGTCTTGAAAGCTGGCAAAGGAGGTGAAGCACGGCTTACCGAAGGTACACAAGGTAGGAGAATCATTGAGACTGGTAGTCAGCAACAAACATGAACTAAGACGCAAACTGGAGAAATTTATATGCCTCAAATTAAAGAGTGACAGAATATCAAATACAGAGAGAAACTCAAGCCAATTTTCTCAAAGAAACAAAGGCACCAGTTTGGTGATAATAGTTGATTGACCCTGTTGTCGCAACATGCCCATATTGGCAGGAAGACCTAGAGGAACACATCTTCTTTGGAGACCGTAGTATGCATGATAATCTCCAGAATCGGACCGAGGACTTGGAATATTTCCCAGACGGACGTAGGAATGTACCAAGTCCACGGTTCGACTCTGGAGATTATCATGCATACTATGGAGTCCGGAAAAGAAGTGTTCTTTTAGGTCTTCCGACTAATATGACTAAGTTGCGAAAATAAGTTAAAATAACTAATACACATCGAAAGAACACTGCGAACAAAATAAAGGACATCCGGTCTTCGTATCTACGCTTGAACTATTAGTGATTTTTTGAAGTGGGTTGACCTCACTGTTGCAACTTGGTCTTGTGTTCTGGGAGACTAGGTAGAACGCACCGAGTCCGAAGTCGTCTGCCATAGTAGTTGTCATGATTTCCAGC